CTTTGTTAAAAGAATTCCAAAGTTTTCATCTTTGTCCAATACCAGGTCTTCAATCTTTCCAAGAAAAAGAACTCTTAAAAACATATTAACCCTTAAATACTAAAACTATTTCATGTCTACCCCAGGGACTAATTTAGTCATGTGTCTGCCAACAAAGACATACTTATAATCTATGTTTATTTTGGTTCCTATATAAATCTTCTTAGTAGCTGCTTCCAGTGAATATTGAGGGAAAAGCTCTCTTAATGGAAAGCTATGAGAAACATCTATTTTTCCAGGACGTATATGCACTCCGTAAGTCACTGTTGGTAAAGCAAGGGGAGAGATTTGGTTTTGTTACCAAAGTTCAACACGAATTTTATTTGACTCCATCTCCAACAATGGACAATAACATTAGCTCAGTAAGAGATCATGATCAATACCAAATGTATTTCATAAACAGAGAAGCCTGACATCAAAAGGACAGCGAGAAGAAGACAGTGGGTTCCACACGATTCTTCAACAATTTGCCCTGTCCTCAATGTCCCCAAAGCCCTTCAGAAGAAAGTAACAGAAGGCAAGAACACAGCAAAATGAGGGAAGTATTAAAGATCCTTGAGCATCTTAACCTCAGATCCAACCGTGAAAGCTCCCAGGAAATTCATCCTCCAGGCCGGGTGCCATGGCCTGTAATCCCAGCACTTTGGGAGGCCAAGGCAGGGGCATCACCTGAGGTCAGGAGTTCAAGACCAGCCTGACCAACATGGTAAAAACCCATCTCTACTAAAAATACAAAATTAGCCAGGTGTGGTGGTGCACGCCTGTAATCTCAGCACTCTGGGAGGCTGAGGCTGGGGGATCACCTGAGGTCAGGAGTTTGAGAACAGCCTGACCAACGTGGTAAAACCCCATCTCTACTAAAAACACAAAATTAGCTGGATGTGGTGATGCATGCCTGTAATCCCAGCTACTCGGGAGGCTGAGGCAGGAGAATTGCTTGAACCCGGGAGGCGGAGGTTGTAGTGCATCAAAATTGCACCATTGCACTCCAGCCTGGGCGACAAGAGCAAAACTCCATCTCAAAAAAAAAAAAAAAAATCATCCTCCACGTCACCTCTTTCGTACCACTGCCACCCACAGCAGAACAGAAATCTTCAGTAATCTGGACTATTTCTAATAATTCATATAGCTGGACTGAGGTTAATTTTTATCTATGTAGAAAGTCTTTCCAGCCCCCTTCAAGCTCTATATAAAGACCTACTCCCTAATTCTAATTGCAAATCATGTGTTAAAGCAATATAAAGATCTCTTTAGGCAATCCTCTATTAGCCTGATTCTAATTGCCACATATTGTTTGAAAATAATAAAATTATACTTGTCTGAATATAGTCTTATTAAAACTGACAATCCCTCCTTCCCCCATGTTCTTTGTAATTCATGAAATTTTTATAGTGGTTTGCCACTTTCATGCTTGGGTGGACCAAAAAGTTAAAGAGTACATTTAACTCTTTACACTGGCTCACACCTGTAATCCCAGCACTTCAGGAGGCCGAGGCAGGCAGATCACCTGAGGTCAGGAGTTCCAGACCAGCCTGACCAACATGGTGAAACCGCATCTCTACTAAAAACACAAAAATTAGCTGGGAGTGGTGGCACGCGCCTGTAATCCCAGCTACTCAGGAGGCTGAGACAGGAGAATTGCTTGAATCCAGGAGGCGGAGGTTGTAGTGAGCCGAGATTGCACCACTTCAGTCTGGGTGACAGAGCAAGACTCCGTCAAAAAAAAAAAAAAAAAAAAAGAGTACATTTTCCATGAAAAACAAGATATAAAGACAGTGAGACAAGTATTTTATAACAGTTACACCATTGCTTTTAATTAAACATAAAACATCTGATATTTCATTCATGGACTCTTAGCATTATTTATAAAATGAAATACCCTTTTTAGTCCATGAAGAAAATTCCATGGAAATAAAATAAAAGCATATGCAGTTTTACATATTTACATACTTACATTCTGGAGCACAACAAGACTCTAATTGGGTATTTTCCTTTTATTTGAGGCTCTAGTTTCAATTTAGTATGCCTAAAACGACTAGTAAATACATTATACTGAGTAGTGGGGTAAATGAATTCTTTCAGGCCACAAAGGTACTATTCAGTAAATTACCGCTCTGCACTGGCCGCTGCCTCGTGGCCTCAAATTGACAAACTGCCTTTAAAAGGTGAAACATGTTCTTACTGATTCATCCAAAGGCTCATTATTTGTTATTTATTTAAACTGATGGGAATGAAGAGGCCAAGGATAGAAAAAGTCTTTGAAATTTTAACATTTACAAACTTGAGCTACTTAAAGAAAACCTAGGTTTCTACTGCGATATCGTCAGTACATGAGCCAAATAAAACACATTTACTCCCCCAAATTTGGCACACATTGTCTAAATTCAAATCCAAACAGGCAATCCAAGGAGAGCAGTCATTTGGAGTTTTCCTAATCTCCTTACATTTAAATAGAGTACAATACATCTATTATGTTAATCTTTTCCCACTAGAAGCTATTAACATGGTATCTGCTCTTGGTTTAAACATTTCAGTACACGCGGCATCTCTAAATTTTGATAAACTTTCTAACATATAATGAATGTGCTGATATACAAAACTGAAAACTTCTGAAGGCAGCAGAGATGCCTCTGGGTGATACTCTGGGAACTTTAGCTGCTTGAAAGGTGTCAGGGGACAGGCTCAGATCAATGGGCACACAGATGAGGAATTCTTTGTACCAGGGACATTCTCAACAGTGTAGGCAAAGAAGTCCTAATCAAGCCCCCAACCCAGAATATCAATGAAAGGAGGAACAATAAACAGGAATTACAGCAGAGAAGATAAAAATCCAGGGTCTCTCCAGAAAGACAATACAGGTACTTAAGTTAATCCCTCAGCTTGCATCTGCACCTGGGCCCATTTCTGGCACTAGAACTACCGTTTCAAAAACACATTTGTATTTAGCTATCTATCACAAGTACGTTTCTATCCCTGCATAAACAGAGTTTAGGTTCAGATTTCTGCGCAATTTCCTTTCCTCTCTTTAAAAAAAAAAAAAAAAAATTCTAGACTCGAACATTCGATACTTGCAGACGCCACTGAAGTATTCACGGCAAAAATAAAAACAACCTGCAAATGGGAGATGCACATAGTCGGCTTTTCTTTTCCTTGATTTCTTGTTAATATTTTATAATGAATTAAAGGTCAGTAAAAAGTCCCTTTCTTTAATAAATCTTAAAGTAAACAAGTAGAATGCAAATGATTTCCACTTTCAATGATCAATCATTTCAAGAATCTCTCTACGAACTGAGTAAACCATCTGTGACTCAGGCCTCCCTATCATGTTTTTTAAGCTGACCCACTTCTCCATCACTCACCATGGTTCGAAAAATCTCACTTCTAAGGGTGTAGCAAGAACCGCTCTGTGCCAGCGCATAGTTTGAATCCAATAGGGTAAAAGGGTAATGCAAACAGCACTTTAAAAGGACACCAGTTTTTACGTAAAATGACCCACTGCCTCTAAAAAGAGAGCATCAACACCAGCCTTCACCTGAAGCAATCCTTTTCTCCAACAGAAGAGCAAATCAAGTCTGTAGGGTTCGGGGGCAAAGGCAAAGGATTAAGAAACCCGGTCAAGTGTGAAAATGCTTGGTGCATCGAGTTTTGGAGATCAAATACTAGCTTTGCAAACGGGATGCGGCCAGGTCAGCGAGAGCCCGGCTCAGGGGATCGGCCCTGCTCTGAAAAGCTGTAGGGACACGCAAGGCGGTGCAAAGCCCAGTATCCCCAGCAGGGGCCGGGCCCGGGACCCCCTCCGCGCCAGAACTTTGCGCAGTTCGCCGCCCGCAGCCCCGACACCACCAGGGGCACCTCCATGCCGCTCCACCCACGTCTTTGCCCATTCTTTTTGGGTGGCGGCCGTGGAGAGGGGGTCTGAAGGGACTTAACAAGGATGGCAGGGGGCAGAAGAGGGCGACCTCCTACCCCAGGCTACGGCCGCCACAAAGGGCAGGGCGTCGCGCCTCTCCTCGGAGCCCACCGGAGCCACCCGCGGGCGAGG